AATTTAGTAATATGCGGATTCCATCGTGTATGGAACAATCGATGAAGCGCGACACCGTCGTCATACATTGATGACGTATCGGCGCAAAACTTAACGTAAGATAAATTCTGAAAAATTCTCTCGCCGTATATCCTTCGGCTAACTCTAGGCTACTCGAGTTTCAAAAGCTGAAAATATAATTCGGTATAAAACATAATGATAATCACTTAATCGATCATTCGTCTATTAGATATTTTAACAAATAATTTTACTACGACTGGGGGAGGGGATGGGGGTGGGGGAGGTTTTTCTCTTTTTTTTTAATATTTTTTAACAATAATATTAGATCGAAGTCCGTACGATAGATTGAATGTGTTTTTCTATTACAATTTAACGATTTCTCCAAAAAATTCTCTATAAAATTAAAAATCTCTCGATAACTTGATTTATAGAAAAAAATGTATAATATCTGTATTTATGTGTCATTGGAAAATACATTTTTACAATAGACATTAAAATTAATATTTCGCTTAAAAGTTCGGAAAACCGTGTTTTTGTATTCATTGTGCTTGCATTTCAATGTAATGTGTAGCAAGGCTTTTCTCTTATACAAGAAAGTCTTCCGACATTTCCTCTCTCAACTTTCGACTCAGTTGGATTGACGCTGAATTTATTCGTAGGCAAATGTCGGCTTCAACTTCTGAGACACGTTAAATCTAGGCTCACTCCGTTGCGCCCTAAGACTCATGATCTCTATTCGACGATCATCGATCCGTTTAAGCGGTTCTACGCCCGTTTTTCTTTCCCAAGACGATATAGAAATCGGAAGCCTTTCTCGCTAATTCGTTGTTCTTACGCTCGTATTTCCGTTATACAACTTTGTCCACGTAGCAGCCGTAGAATTCCATGTTGTAAAACAATTGCTGTACCATTCTGTTCCTTTCGAGCGAGAACTTTTCACTAGTTGTCACACAGCACCGTTCCTCCGACGGTTTTAGTCCAGGAGGAATAGTGACCACTGATTTTTTTTTTTTTTTTTTTTAAACCGATATTTACTAAATGTATAGGGTTGCTTTATCGTTAGCCTTTTAGAATTCTGTATCAGTTTTCCATTTTCCTGCTTTAATTGATGTACAGGAGTACGTCCAATCCAAACTCTGTTTACCTTCAGAAACTCTACCATAACTAATTGATAAAATCCATTTATATCTCATATGCTAAAATATTATGTATATTGTTCTTCCTGTTTTAAAATCAGTGACACCGATTGCTTTCAAATACGTAATACCGATTATATAATGCTCACCATTTCCAAAAACGTTTACAGTATTTGTAATATTTTCGTATTAGCGAAATATTGTATATAGTCAATTATTAAAAAATCTGTTAAAATTTATACAAATTAATAAGTTTGCGCGACTTACACAAAATTTGTAATCTCAGTGCACAGTGTCTTTAATTAATTAAAGTAATAGAATAGCTAATAATTAAAGTCTCTCTCTCTCTCTCTCTCTCTCTCTCTCTCTCTCTCTCTCTCTCTTTATTTATCTATCTTAATATATACATCTCTATATCTTCGATTCTTATTGTACTTAAGATTATTGCTGCAATTATTGAAGTTGCGAATAATTTATTCATTATCGCGCTACAATGAGAAAATGCCACTTGCACTATGTATTTTACGTTTCCACGTAGCATTATGTATCTTACTCACAAAATATCTGTACAAATATAATTATTTTCCCATATACTTTCGCGAGCAAGTAAATCTCTCCAAACGATGATATTAGTCGCTTTCAAGTAGAAATAACTTGTTCTTCCACTAGCACAAGTCTAATTCTCTGATTGCTCACGCTTTTCACTAAAATCATACTTTCACCAATGAGATAAATAACAATAGATAATACATTAATGGAAGATACCCATTCTCATTATTACGTGTATATTCAATTTTGTGAGCGTGTGTGCGTGTGTGCGTGTGTGCGCGTGTTGAACTATTGAATTATTGGTATTATAATTATTTGTAAATATCAATATTCGAGTTATCAAAATAAAGTATAATAATTGGATATATAAATATACGTATATTTCTAATGTGTAATCGAATAAATTTATATCTTCGTTAACTCAAAAGTTTCATGTACGAGAAAAAAAAAGGATTCATAAATCAATGTTACTAATCTAATATATTAAATATTTAATCGGCATACAAAAAGTAAATTAAATTATTCGTATACACATTATATGCGAATGTGTAATTATAATTTTATCCCATTTTGATAATTTATGTTTGAAAAATTAGTTCGAACAAAAATATTTTATTATTAACTATCGACCTACTAATAATATAATTGTACGTTCGAATTTTTTATTGCGCCGTACTTTCTTATGTATTCAATTATTTATATTTTATTGAGCACTCATAGATAATTCATAGATTCATAGAAATCGAGTAAATGCCATGTCCTCGACATATCATTTGTTTAAATGTTTATTGCTGCTTGATTGTTTAAATGTATAAAAAATACATATTGCTTACCGGCTATAACGCTTCATAGACGTTCAAGTATTTATTTATTTGTTATTTAGATAAATATAAATTTTATACTTGTTAGTGTTCCTTGGATGTTCCTTGGATACAATCACATTAAAAAAAAAAAAAAAAAAATTAAATAAAAGTATTTTATATTGATTATCTTCAAACAAGTAGGAAGCATATGCTGTGTGTGCGCTTGTGTGAATGTGCGCGAGTATGCATATACATGTTATTTATTATCCAGACAATACTGTTATCATGTCAATTTTTAAATAAAAACAAAAATCCATAATTATTTGCTTTAATCAGTTCTGTTTTTATTTTAAAAGAAAAAGGATATATAAATAAATTCAAAATCAGTAATATAATTAGTTTATTAACAATAACAAATATTTTTGTTTTAACTATATTTGAATATAAATATATTCAATTAAAATATTGTATCTCATTAGACTCAATATATATAAATTTATATCATATGATTTTATTATTGCTTAATTAAATAATTTCTTACATTTTCCAATGTTATCATCGAACCATTTATTTTATTATTATAAAATTACCTGTCATCTTTTTTTCCCATAATTAATATTTCTCCAATTTTTTTCAACTTAAAATTAAAAGATATAATTTTCGATTAAAATCTTATGATTATTTTATTAATATTTTCATGTATAAATTTACGAAGTTTAACAATCTATTTTAACAACTTTTCACTTAATGCGTTTAAGTACGAAAATCGTGACTACAACTAAATTAAACGATCTTTTTATTAAATGTTTTTCCTAAACTTTTTCTAAATTATATATGATCACAATATGTATAATTATGTTAATATTATAATATAAGCATCATTATATTATATTCCTTATACTTATCGAAAATAGACAATAATTAGACAATTTTTATATTTAAATCATATTTTATTTATTGTTAATATTGCGTACGATTTTGAAAATATTTCACTCTGGCAGTGCAGTATATCAGCGAATAGAGTATATCTGCATTAATTAAATCGCAGAAGTTCAAATTAAATATTTAACTCAATAGCTTCAGTTTGAATAGTAATTACAACTAAATGTTTAATATGAAATTAATCTATATTATTTTAGAAAATTTTATAATAATACTAAATTTTGAATTTAAAAGTTAAATATATTTAATTTCCATTATTAATGTACTTTTGAAAAATGTTTTCTCGTTCCCCCAATTAATATATCTTTTTTTTTTTTTTTTTTTTTTTTTTTTTTATAAAAAATTATTTATGTTAAATTGTTTTTGAAAAATTTTGATTATTTTTGTATGTATTAAATTGTTTGTAAATAATTCAATGCGTATATAAAAAATATTTTCTTCTAAATTAATAATACCAATGAGTATATGTTTATTAAATTTTTTCGGCTTTAAAATATGTGCTTTTGATATTAACTCTACAACTAATATAAAAATTATACTTATGATTATGTAGTAAATAATATATAAGTTGAACAAAGGATAAAAAGTTTATCAACTGGCTGACTATTCAATACATAAATATGATATGTACAACGCCAGCAAAATATTAACTGCTTATATATTTATTTGCATTTTAATCTGTTAACTATATTATTTTGTGCATAACTAATCGTTTATCCGAAAAAATTTCATCTATAATATCAAATTTATCAAATACGAATATTTACTTATTTATTTATAACCATTATTACGCTTATAATAATTTCCATGATTCAGTAATTATATGATTGCCATATCAGCTAAAATGACAAATAAATATAATTAATGTATTGAAACTTAAAAAAAGAAACTACACTACACAAGTATCTAAAAATATTTTTGCAAGCTGATGAAAATATGGAAAATTAGGGACTTAGCGACTAAAGCTTATGTCCTTAGTTTTACAAATATCTAAATTTTTTTTATGTTATTGAATACAAATCATTTATTTCTAGTCGTAAAGATTACACATACTTTAATAATATATGGAAATCAAAATTAAAGTGTGTGCTACATTAATAGTTATAACTGGATAAACTGGACTCCGCATATTTCTTGGCCAAAAATAATAAAAATGTCGTATAACTTATTTACCGTCGGGTCGGACTTTTCTACCTATTGCCCGCCTCTTTTATTTCACCGTTGTTCTTCCCATTTTTATCTCTGTCTTCTCCAAACCAAACATATATTTAACACAACCCTCCTTCTACATCTCCCTCCATCCCTCTCCACTCCCAAATCCCCCATACCCCACCCCATCCTCATCAACCTACATCTTCCATCCCGCGAGTTAGCATCCCCTCCCCGCCGACGCTTTATCCATCCCGCGCCAAGTTCATACGCCCGCTTCCTCTCCCTACCATTCCTTTCGCGAGCTTTTCAAAGCTTCTCTCTTCCTTCTCACCCTCCGGTAGTTCCACACGAAGCACGCATGCGCCGGCATTCATCCGCTCTCCCTAACACCCTATCAGTAATACGTGAGATACGCTAGCGAGCGGTTGCAAGCGCAAGCTCTGCTGCTCTCTCTCCTTCACTCTGTCTCTCTATCTCTGTCTGTCTGTCTCTCTTCCTCTCAGTTTCTTATCATCAATGTACAACTCAGTCACAGTGTTGTTGCCCACTCGCCATGAAGGTACACATAACCTCCTCGTCTCTCGACGTATTACAGCCCGTATGTACACTATGTATATGCACTCGTACATATTCTTGACTGTTGTTATTGTGATTTGTCTTGTTTTCTTTTCTCCCGCCTATTTTCCTTTTTTTTTATTTTTTTTTTTATTTTTGTTTTTTTTTTTTTTTGTTTGTTTGTTTATTTTCACTCTTTTATCTCGCTTTGCTAATGAATCGAAAAATTGTTTTTAATGGCATATTTATCATAGCTTGTTTATGTACTCCGATTGTTTTTTATATACAAAATCAATCTTTCATTTGCATTATATTGTAATCCTCCAGCCTAATAACTAGATCAGAAAATTTTTAAAAAATACATTTTATTCTCACATTACCGAAATCTATATGTTTATTAATCTTTTTTACTTTACATAACATAATCTCATCGTTATATATATATATATATATTTTTTTTTTTTTTTTAAGTAATTTTAAAGTTTAAAATTTTCAACTAAATGTCGAATAATGCAGTCTACTGTTATGGTTTACCGAGACGACAGATGCTCGTTTAATAAAATAAATTATTATATCACAAAATAATAGGAAAAAATTACAATCTATCAGAGCATATAAATCAGTTATTTATCCAAATATATATATATATATATATATATATATATATATAAATCACTCATAATTTCATATTTTACTATCTGATAATTTTATCGATTTAATTTTATAACTGAATAATTTACCATGCTTACATAACTTATATTTAGATTTTTTTTTTACTAATTTATCGATTTAGATAAAATTATGTTACGCATTTCGTCTATTAATCCAATCGCAACACGCGCGACTACACACATGTAACCATATCTATAATTATTATATATAATATGTAATATGCAATGTGCACATCTATAATTATTTAATCATTTATTTATTAATTTATACATACATATGTGTAGGTGTGTGCGTGTGCGCGCGTGTATTTATATATGTCGAATATACGTATATTATAAAATGTTTACGTAATAAATTTATGGATGAGCTTAAAAAGTGAATGAACGATAATATAAATAATTTGAAGTACATTCATTATGTTTGAAAAGTGACGGGCACTCTCAAAAGCACTCCTTTAAAAGTAAATAATGTAATTTTCAGAATGAACACTTTCATTAAAGTCCTCAAACATTTTAAAATTCACTTCGTACTCGCAGATTTTAATACTATAAAATGGAGGCAAATTTTTAAAGAATTCCATGAAGATAATACGCACGACGGCTATGTATAATTATTCTTTTGTGGCGTTTCTACTCTTGTATCATCTCATCTCATCTGAATATTTAAAATTTAAAAGGGACGTTACTCACCCCATATCTACACAGCATCCATCCATGGTGTTCCTTCATAGTAGATAGGTAAGACGTTTTCTCTAGCGCTACTTGAAGGAAGCTTCAAGTGGACCTAGGCGCGTCCGTAAGAAAAAACGGCGAATCTCCGCGTGCAGCAAACGAAAAGACAAATGAACAGATTATACAGGGTGAACCGGAGGCGCAATAGTCGTGCGCCGGCACACGCTTGTCACGATCCATTTCCTCGTCTGTTTTTTAATTTTATGCAGCCACGGGAAGAGTAGCTTAAAATTCTTGTCGGGCGAGCGATATTTGCGTCACACTGACATGAGGAATGGTTTTATCTTGTCGTTCTTAAAAAAATATTGATACTAAACTGGACGGAACTGAAGAAGCTCTTATTTCCCCCTTGTGCCTACATCCAATACTGAAGATTCGAGGCGGAATTAGATTTCCGTATTGTCTGAGTGTCCATTGGAGTGCGAAGGTATTTGTTAGCTTTTATTTAAAGCATAGTTTAGTAAGAAAATAATACGAAGTATTATTGAAAATATTTTATGATTATTTATCATTTATTTGGTACAAAATTTATAACTGAAAATTGATGATATTTAATAATAGATAAATTGCATAAGGATATAGTATACTTGTTTTTTTCTTTTCTTTCATTTAACAAGTTTGAAAGAAGAATATTCCTAAATCACTTTTGTATCGTAAGTAAGAAATATTTGTGAGACGAAATTTCTATGCAAATATCTTGTGCCGAATATGAAATAAAGTATACACTTGTATTTATTATACTTTTTGTTTCTCATCTTTCAATGACAATGATATACATTTATATAGATATCTGTCAGACAAGAGATATGAAATTGTTGATGATAAAAGGTACCCGCGAGAACAATAATGTTAAAAGAATTATAATTATAATTTGTTAATTAATATAATTCATTAGAGATAATAACAAAAAAATATTGAATTAAATTTATTTAGCAGTTCATTATACATATGTATTATTATTAAATATATGTTGTCACAGTTGCAATATAATTTATACAGTTGTAACTGAACAACATTTACTTTTTCTTAAATTATTGCGAATTATCTAGCAGTTATCTCATATGAATGGCCCATCAATTTCATATATTTAATATTAAGCATCAACGATTAAATTCTTTTTTTAATAGAAAAGCATCCTATACCCTAGAATTGGAATTATTACGCTTTATGTTTCATTTAAAAATTCATCTAAACTTAGAATAATATTTACCTTTGATCATTTTTATTAAAATTATAATAGACGTTAAAATTAAGGCAAAGCTATATTTCTTTTCTAATTGATTATTCCTTTTATAATGTTAATCTATTAATAATAATAATAATAATAATAATAATAATAATAATAATAATAATAATAATAATATTTTTATTCATAACGCTAAAATAATTTATACAAAATTTCAGAATATATTACGATATAAATATAAGAGTATTGAAGAAATGCTTTCAATTAGTCGAATACTCTTTTACAAAATTCTTATTTTCTTCAAATACATAAAAGAATTATTCATTTATATTCTTTATTTATTCAAAAGATAATAATCGTAATAAATCAAATATTGAAATACTAGTTCTTACGTGTACTAAGGCTACACAAAGTAAAACATTTTTTAAAACATTTACAGTGCGCATGTGAAATTATGTATATTAAAAATTACTCTAGATATCGACAATCGGAAGTGCTTTGCGTTTATGTCTGATAAGAGGCAACTGCTTCGGCTTAACGGGAGACTAATATCCGTTTGGGATATTCCATTAAATCGATATTTCTAGGAATTATTTAAACTAGTCACATAGCTGTAAGCATGGATATCTGTGTTGTACTTGCTAGGAAAGCATGAATTCCTAAATTCAAAAGACCATTGAAATATTTTCCAAAATCGAATACGATTCTGTAATATATAATTTGTTAAATTTTTGCAATTTTCGCAAACTTCCCAACATTATTAAACAAATATTTCAAAATATATATATTTAAATAATTAAAAACTATCATGAATTTAAAGCATGTGTTAAAAAAAATAAATAATACTTTTCTGATACTTCATAAGTGTAAAATGCTTAAAATATTTTTCAAAATTTTGTAAATAGATCATTTTCATATTTCGCCAAATGTCTATAAAATTCTTCTTTATCACTGTAAATTTTACTTAAAATTTGCTAATAGTTGTAATAACTAAATATACGTAGTAAGTATAAGAAGAAAAAAAAAATTAACTCATGTATTTACAATTAATTGATCTATTTTCTATAATAATATAATAATTACGTAAAAGAAAAAGTAATGTGTAAAAAAATTTCTAATTATTTAAAATATATATATTTATATGTATATGTAAAAGTAGACATTATTTTAATAGTATTGAGTATAGTTAAGCATATTCCCTAATCTACCTGAAAATTCGTATCGATGCAATTACCTTGAGTATAATAGAGGATCATATAATTAAAACTCAATAAAATAAGATAATAAAATCATTACTGTATTTTTTGTTAGAGGAAGATCGCGAATCTTTCATTGTTCCCTCTTACTTTTATAATATTTCCTACCCTTTTTCATACTCTATCATGATCAAATAATATGCAGTTAAACAATTTTCTATCTATGGTTCATCCAATGTCACCGTCACTGATGATAATAATAGCCGCCAGATTTTGAATAATATGTAAATTGATATTTTTTACCTATTTTTACATTATATTTATAGTTCATTATTGCATATTAAAATTAACCGATAGATTTGAAATCGTTATTTTCCACAGTTAATTGGAGATATTTCAATTGAAATCAATCGCTATTGGTTTGTCAAATTATTTTCCGTTATATTAGACATTTTCAAAATTTCATAGAAATTTAAATAATTCCATATTATCACTCCTCGTTAGATCAGGCGAATACTATTTGTTCAATATCATTAACGATAAATAAAACTGAGCTGAATTTTCTTCGATTCTGCGGAAACTGATAGTACAACAACTAAATATAAAACGTTATTATCATGCGCAATAAAAGAAAATTTTTAATTTTTCGATTACATAACTGTAAGAAGAAGCTTTTTACTCTAGATTGATAACATTTTTTCCTCTTCTTATTTTATTTTGCCAAAAGTTACCTGCCAAAAGTTTTATTGCAAAATTTACACCTAAAACCGTATATAAAAAAAAAATCCGTGTAGATCTTATTAATTATATTATTAATAATGATAATAAGCTTGGCACTCGCATAGTGAAATAAATGCTTATGAAAATAAGCCCTATTCATTTGACATTATTAAAAACAAAAGAAAAAATTCGATTAATGCCAGTTGCGTCTGATTGCTTTTTATGAATTGAATATTGATTATCTTATTTAAAATTAAATTAATGAACAACTTCTTGTATAGCCAAACACTCAAATAATTACTTATTTTTACATAATTCTTTAAATCAGTGATTACTTTGCATTAATTAAGAAGATTTTATTTAATATAAATTTTCATGAAATATTGATTTGAAAGTTATTTTTATAAAATCTCTAATCTTATATTTATTAAAATAATAAAATTATCAAGTCGATATTCATTTTTACGTTTTATTACTAATTTCTTAGTAATGAAATTTCTAGTTTAGCATATAATTTGACCGTTACACCTTTACAAAT